TAGACTACTGTAACTCTCTTTTCACGTGTCTGAGCAGAACCTCCCTGAACCGTCTACAGGTGGTTCAGAACGCCTGTGCTCGGCTTCTGACCAAGTCCTCCAAACACACCCACATCACCCCGCTTCTCCTCCAGCTTCACTGGCTGCCAGTCATCCTCAGGGTTCATTTCAAGATCCTGGTTCTGGTCTATAGGGCCTTACATGGACGAGTACCATCTTACATTGGTGATCTTCTTAGTCCCTACACCCCCAGCAGGTCCCTGAGGTCCAGTGATCAAAGCCTACTGGTTGTGCAGCACCAGGCTAAAGGTCAAAGGTGACAGATCATCTGCTGCTGTGGCCCCCAGACTCTGGACCTCTCTCCCCCTGAGCCTGAGATCAGTGGACTCAGTATCAGAAGGGTTTTATTGAAATATGTGTGAGAATCACAACATTAGGAAATGGCTGCAGTCGTTGGTGTAAGAAAGGATAAATGATCAGCAACAAATAGAATTAAGAAATAAACCCAGTGAAAGGATAAAAATATAGGGAAGCAGCAACTATATACAAGTCAGTGTAGGTACAGGTCAGAGCGGATCCGTTCAGGTGCAAACACAACACTCAGGTGAGTGAAACAAAGCAACTGGAGTGGACAGTTTCACGATTGACATTCATTCATTCATTTAGGCGTGAAAACTAACCAAAGGAAGGGCTTAAAAGTCTTGTCAACTGAGAAACTGTGTAATACTTGTTATTTTTTAAAAATGTGATCAATTACTCTAAGTTGCATACACATGCTGAGCTAAAACATTTTTTCTAGACAAGAAATTACTGCTGCACTGTACGTCACAGGAAGAATTAGCATTCACGGCCCCACCCAGCTTTGGTTTGTGTTGATTTAGCAGCCAGGAGTGAGCAGAGCACATCTCAGCTAGTAGACGCTAACCATTAGCACAACAAGGTTGACCACATTCAGGCTTGTGTTAATGGTAGAGATAAAACATTACTTATGGCAATTTTTTACCCAAGAAAGAAGACAGCTGAAAAGTTACATCGCCGTTAGATAATCAGAGCTGAGATGTTTGCACATCATGAACAGTGTTGGGCGTTACTTCAAAACTGTAATGCATTATTTATTACTTGTTACCCCCATTTTAAAGTAATTCATTACATTACAATATTACTGATTTTAAAATGTAAGGCATTACACTACTTTTGCATTACTCTAAGTTACTTTCACCAAAAATAACTTCAGTATGAGTTTGGTAATCTGATGCCTGGTGAACTCATGACATATCCGGTGGAAGGTGATGTGGTGTCTGAGCTAGGATTGCTGTTAAAAACAGTTCTTTAGAAAGATTGTTTATGTAATAAATGCAACAACAATCTGTACTCTCAGCATGCTGCCATCTTAGATTAACTGAGCGGCGAGTGAGGTGGTGGGGGCTCCAAATCTATTTAGCCTTTGTCCCCAAATGCCTTGATACGGCCCTGGATGTGGGACTGACTTCTGGGGTGATCTAATTCTATCACATGTATAAATATTAAAAGCGTATATATTATTGCTTTTCACTGGTAAAAATGAGTATTGGGGATAAATTTACCTACATTTTTTGTTTTCAAGCACTTTGTTTTGTTTTCTTGATTTTATTTGAATAATTTCCTGCCCTTTCTCTCTCTAACCTTCCTGCATGCTGCATGTTTTCTCCGTCTTCCAGAAAAAACTGTAAACTAGACTTCCTACTTTCTATCAGCCAGAGGGATCTTCACATGCGCGGCGCTCCAGCAGCAATGAGTTGAAATCACCGGAGCCCAGATTAACTCAGCTGAGGCAAAGCACGTCAGAAAAGTACAGAATACCAGAGAATATGCGCTGATATGAACGATCGCAGGTGAATTATTTTGTTTTAGTGGAGCGATTTTGTGAATGTTACAGCGGCCGCGTGCAGGACGCAGCTGAGCCGTTACTGCTGCGTCCTCTCTGCCCGCAAAGCTGAGTCCATAAATGACGTAATATATGCAGATACTGGATCTTTCTTCGGGTTTCCTGCAATTTGAATTTTTAAGAAACGCAGCTTGATTCTGGGTTTAAAAATGCATTGTAATTACCGCGTTACTGATGATTGTACCGAGTAAATATTACCATTTTCTTTCCCTGTAATGCCTTACATTACCACATTACAGCAAAAAACAATGCATTACAGTAATTAATTACTTTTGTACCGCATTACTCCCAACACTGATCATGAATATTATTAATTAAGACTTGTACCCTGTTGCCTCCCCATGAATTTGTTCCTACTAGAGACCACAGCACATTTATAAAAAACTGAGTGAACAAGACCTTTAAATTTGCATTCCCTGGCTGCTCACAGGACTGGTGTTCACCCAATACCTGTGGTGTTCCACAGGGTTCCTTATTTGAACCATTTTCATTGTGGCCTATTGTTTCATGACAGGTATATATTTTTTATTTAACTCATATCTTCTGCAAAAGCATAGTAGAATCTTGAATTACATTGAAAATGGCATTTCAAGAACCAAAGAGAGTTCCTGGAACAGGAGCGCCAGAGCTTTTTCTCCCAGAGAACGAGTCACAAAGCATTCATTCATACTAGAGACCACTGCAAATATGCATTATTATTATTGGGTTTTGGTTTATTTGGGTGGGGGGCATGGTTTTCATCTGATTGCACAGCTTTATGATTCATGTCAGGATCAGTTTAGGACTTCAAAATTCATTTCTCATTCACACATTCATCTTAAAATCTTTATTTTCATTTTTAATTGAGCCCATATGACAGAAGTCCTCAGATGTTCAGCAGTTATTTTGATCGCCATCCTTGGCTTCATCTCTGTAGTTTTTATTGCGAAAAATAATAACTTAACATTACATCACCCCATTTTCTCAACCTGCGTTTGTTGTTCATTTAGGCAACACAACTGTAAATAAATGTTCCTCGAAAAAAAGCAAAAAGAATTTGTCTCATGTAAAGTTGACAAAATGCAGCTAAAGCCTGCTGAACACATTTTGTAATTTAGACATTGTACAAAACTGATCATGCTGATTCAGGGATCAAAGATATCCACACCACTCGCGCAGAAATGCTTACATTTCTGTCTTTGAAGCTCCCCCAAATGCAGCTCAGCAAAGGTTTAGGGTTCGAAAGAAAGTGGACCTCAGGGTGAAGTCCTTCTTATGGCTCAAACATGTTTTGTGCAGTGCTCAACTGGGATTTCAATGTTTGAGAAAGATTAGCACAAAGGAGAGACCACTCCATAAATGGTAACCATGGCAACTAGAGGGGGTGAGGTTGGTGGTAGACTTGAGTTGTAATGTCTTCATGCAGTGTTGATTTGTGCTGATATCCACAAAGTCACTCAGCTTCTTCTTCCCCCCGATTCGCATCAGCGCTCCGTCCCCAGGAGGTGCTCAGGTTCACATCCAATCATGACGGCCTAATTACAACGGCGCAAACGTCTACGCTCCGAGTGCATTTGTGCATTCACACAGAATACAGAGAATCATGCAGGCATAGTGTGTGCTTGACCCAGATCTGCTGAGATGAGTTGCTGGGTGCTCTCTGTCGTCCTCTCCCTTCTGCGTTTGGTCTCTTAGTTCCTCAACTGTCTATAACTCTTCTCAGTCTCTCTCTGCTGCCACGGTGACACCCTCATAGTCACTGTGGTCGTGACTGTGTAGATCTAGAGGCAGAGGAAGAATAGATATGCCTTACTTTGCTTCTGACGTAATAAGTGTGTGTGTGTGTGTGTGTGTGAAGTCTCTGTCAGGTAGGACATGACGCGAGGTGCCCTGGGACACCGAGCACAATGTGTGTGTGTTTATTTAAAAGGCTCACAGTGGCGTGTTGGGCTTTGCCTCCATGCTGCTGGTGCTGTTGCACTCCAGTGAACATGTAATAGTTGTGTGTTGTTTCACTGCACAAAAGATCACAGTTTCATCAAAAGGCTTCAAAAATGATAAAATGGCTACACAGTTAGCCACTTATAGGATGTACCGAGAATGTGAGGATAAAGCCCTAAATATGAGCGTCATTTTTTGAAGGTTTTTCCTGAGTGTGTCTTAACTTTGTTTTCACCGACTGGTTTAAAAATTATAAACTCTAACAACTATTATGAACTTATTAATTTTTTAACCAGCTTGAACCAGTTAAAGCATATTTAGTTGCGAGCTATGGTACAAAAACAGAACAAAAGTTGCCAAGAGTAAATTTCAGAGAAAAAAAAAACTCTGACATGTTGACATAAATTTTGTATATTTACAAAAAGAAATGAATATTCTGTCAGAAAGTCAGACATTTGCTAGAACAAAATTATTTTCCATGCTAAACGCATAAAGTAAAGCTAGGATATTCTCTGACTTTGTAAAGTCAAGAATTTGCAAGAAAAAGAACTTTTAATTTTATCAGAATAAAAAAATACACTCGGAAGGTTGCTGACGTTGTTTTCTTTTGTTTTTCTTTTTTAGTGTGGGGATTGTCATTTATGCTGTGTGTGTGTGTGTGTGTGTGCGCGTGTGTGTGTGTGTAAATCAGGGAACTGCGTGTGACATATGTTCATTTTATGAGGATTGTTGAAACAGAAAACAAAACAAAAGAAAAAGAGATTTAACTTGTTGAGTAAAGCAGGAAAACTGAAGCAGAACTAAACACAGAATTAACTGCAGACCGCTGCTAGCCTTGTTAGCATTATTGTGAATCATAACTAGCTAAAAGCAGCAATCCTGAATGCAAAATAAACTTGTAAAATGAGCACTGTGGGCTTTTTAAAGCTGTTTGGACTGGCATCTGCAGTCAGAAAAGGGAAAACCCCTTTTCGCACATAAGTGATGAAAAAGGGCGTCAGGGGTCTGATGCAGAGGGTGGCGGACCAAGCGTTTGTTTTTGATGCGCTGGGAGTGAGAATGTGTTGCATTTTCATATAATGCAGAGAAAAAGAATATCTGTTAAGTGAACTGTTGTCCTTTTAGGAAAATCTAAAACCTTTCATTTATCTTCCAGAACTACGGCCTGGAGACAGAGAATCTCCGAACACTGTCCCACAAGCTGAACGCTTCAGCAAAGAACCTCCAGAACTTCATCCTTGGTCGGCGGCGGGGAGGTCATTATGACGGACGAGCCTCTAGAAGGCTGCCCAACGATTTCCTCACATCAGTGGTGGATTTGATTGGTGCTGCCAAGAACTTGCTGGCCTGGCTCGACAGGTGAGGCCCTAAGCGACTGCGCAAACACATCCCATTTAGAAGACCATCAAAAATAGACTGAATGAATTATTACATGAGTAATGACAGAGATGATCAAATCACGACATCTTCTGATTATAACTGAGAACAAGACTGGTACAACATGGCAAAGTGAGAGTAATTGACCCTGTGCACGGAAAATTGCAAATTTCCGGGTTCTGACTGCAAGGTTAGTTATTTCTGGCTATTATTGTGCTAATGAAAATACGTGGAAAATGAGAGGATTAATTAAGACATTTAATTGTAAAACTTTGCTTTGATTGGCATGCCTGTGTTAGTATATGTGTGTGTGTATCAACCTGCTCCTACATAGCTGCTAGACAACAGGCGAAGATGGCAAACAGCCGCTAGTTTCACCAAACGTTTGTGAAATAACAACAAAGCACGACCGAGACGCTCCGAACTAACGGGGGAAGAGAGCCAGTGATTCATACCAAATCACTGGACTTTAGTGGCAGTTAATGTCTTATTTAGAAGCTGCACTGCTGCCACAACTCCCATTATGGATAGACGTTGATCGTAGATGGATATTTCTCGGACTCCAAGTAGCACCGAAGTTCTCCGGGTGAGTAAATAAACGTATTGCATAGTAGAAATAAGGTCCAGGTAGCAAAAAGGAAAAAAACTAGTTTCTGCTTAATAATAATGTCATGCCCCTTTTAGTCAAGTCCGCACTAGTTACCACAGCCGTGCTGTTTACTCACCTTCGTAGTTGTGCACTTACTGGGGTATGTACAATTTGAATCCCTTTTCCCGTTTGCCTTGTGGAGCAGACGAAAAAGTGTCGACGATACGATGAACCTCATCAACTGAAATTTTTGACAAAATCATAAGGGATCATGTTGACATTGTGAAGAAGACAGGAAGTACAACGGCTCTAATATTTAATTGGACCGCCTTTAGCTTTGGTTACACACACATTCGCTGTGGCATTGTTTCGATTAGCTTCTCAATGTCACCAGATTTATTTCTGTCCAGTGTTGCATTGATGATGGTAGCGTCTGACCGCTGCCCAAAACCTTCTCCAGCACATCCCAAAGATTCTCAATGGGATTTGGGTCTGGACTCTGTGATGGCCGATAAATGTGTGAAAACGATGTAACGCCTGGAGCACACCGGACACGGAAGCACGGCGATGTGCCACGAAGCGCCGTGGAAAAGACGCCCGCATAGGCGTCATTTTAACCGGGGACGCCGGGGACATGTCCCCGGCAAAATTTGTGATTGGCAGCTGTGTCCCCCCCACTTTCAAAAACGCCTGCTGATGAGGATTTTTGTTTTACCAGCTCAGATCTTATACCAGGGGTGGGCAACCTGTTCCCATCAAAGAGCCATTATTACCCGTTTCCCATGGTAATTCTGGACGGACCTTAATAAGCAGTGACTTAAGTGAAGCAGGCAGGACGCGCTAGAAAATTTCGTTTAAAAAGATGTCATAAATGTGTTCCCCCATCATTTTTATTTCTAAAATATGAAGTAAAAACTCACAATTTAATTTTCTTTCATTTGTCATTAATATGTAGTCTACACCCGTGCGTTAAGTGGACCATCTTCCAGTAAAACAAAGCATCCAGCCCACCTCTCCAAATGCGTAAAATGTGCATCAGCCGCTAGTTAGGCGCGCCGCGCGCACCGTCAGCTACGTCAGCCCAGACAAGAGCAGAGCAAATAGAGACAGAATAGAGGATAATTGTGTCTGGATGTGGATGGAGATTACATTTTACATCAGCCTGATCATCATTTAAACACGTAAACCATCTTCTAGTCCATGCTATCAGCATTATTTTAATTGGTGTGTGTGTGTGTGTGTGTGTGTGTGTGTGTGTTTTCCACTTCAAACACTGGTCTAACCAACCAAACCAGCGTGTCCAGTAACACATTAATGTTACAATTAAACAGTTTCACTTCATGTAGGCTAGGAACGTTTCACCTGCCGTGGCCCGACCGCTTCTGCTCCACATAAACTTTCTGCGTGATCAAATGTCTCTACGCGTCATGCGTCTCCATATTAGAGACGGGAACAAGCGCTGTTCAGCCAAAGTTTCATAATTTCATAAAAAGAACATTTTCCAAGTGGCACATCCCTCAGAGAGACCGGGTTTCCAGACCGCTTCAGTGGGAGGAAATCTTATCGCATGCACCGTGGTTCTGCACTGCGCTGCGAACCCCAGATCTTCAGCTCACTGTCCACCGTGGGCGCTCCGAGCCACGCTGAACCAGTATAAAGCTCTGATGTTCTGATGGGAATATTTTACCTC